ACGCTCGAGTAAATCACCATTTAGCCCGCTGGGCTCCCCTACTATTAAGTGAACCCGAAAGAAGCTCCCATTCAAAAGACTGACGACTCGGACATGACGCAAGCTCATGGCGGCTTCTTGATAATGCAAAAAAGAATCGCCATTTTGAAATACTCGAGTGCGTCAGATTATTATACAGGTGATTCAGCTTGATGTACTAGTCGTGCTGACCTATAATCTGACGATTATTTGGAGGGATTTTCTTAATCTGACAAATTGAAAAAAAAATTTTTTTATTAAAAATTTTTTTTTTAAATTACTAAATGTGACAAATAAAATGCATGAAAAATAGAATGCAAATAAAAAAATCTATTTCTTTCAATTATAATATATACAGAAAAAAATAGTAAAATAAAAAAAAACTTTCACAAATAAAACAGATTACTGATGGTAAATTGTCATTACTGACAGGCTTGTCGGTGCGAAAGGTATCATCAAAACCCTCGAAGTCTCGTTCAAAGTTGCTTGATATTCCCGCTCTGAAAATATTTTCTCAATAAGAAATCTGATAATTAATAACATGAAACTAAATTTATAGCATTAAAAAATAATTTTTTTAAGTATTTTATAACAATTTTAACAATTTTTTTATATAAAATATATTTTATAATGTTTCTTAAAAATAATAATTTTTTTTATTCTAAGAATTATATTAAATAACATTAAAAATTTACTTTTAATATTTAAAAAAAAATTTATTTTTTATGTTAAGAGTTTAATAAAAAAAAATATTCACAACATTTTATTATTTCATCATCAGTCGCGTTTGATAAAAATGTACCGTAAAATTTTTGCATTAAGTTTCCGGAAAACCCACTATTAATACAATAAAAAAATAAAGAGCTTTTAAAAGTAAAAATAATATATTATAAGTGAGCACTTACTCGTCTGTCGATGTACCAGCACCCTGAGTTGTCGTGGAAGTAACAGGAACATACAATTCGGAACTCTCCTCAGAAACTTCCGGTGCATTATCGCATTCCGCTGCACTTTCCTGTTGCTCGAAATTTGGAAAATTATAAGGTACTTTAATCGCTGTGAATAACTTATAACACTGCGCGTGATGTCCTTCATTTAATAAATTTTCAGCTGAAAGTTCAACATTATCGTACGTTGTCTGTAATTTCCTGAGGACCGGTTTGCTCCGACAATACTCCAAAACCGTAAGGCATTTTTTTTATTGTCACTGACGTAAATTTCACAATTTTTTCAAGTTTATTTTGTCCACAGCGGCGCGGAGTGGGGAATACATGCTTCACTGCAGCTGCACGCACTAAACTTTTCTGACAATTTTTGCTACTTTGGCTTGTGGAAATCGGCAGATTATATTTTTTCCGTTATTCTTGAATTATTTCTTTCAAAATAAAAAAAAATTCGACCGCGCTCAAGAATGTCAAGGTGACGTTTTTTTTTTGCAAGTTTGTGACCCTCCCACTTCCTTACGTCACGCTCAAATCGTCAGATTATTGAAATGCACACTTTTCAGCATGTTATTAAAGCCCGATCTACAATAAGAAGTTGATCCGTCTACATTACGTAGAGTAAGCCTAAATTAAGTATTAAGAGAGGCGTAAGGAGTAAGAGTAAGGACGTAAGCGAAATGAATAATTTCCATTTCGTCTTACTCCTACTCCTGCTTTTCTTACGTTCGACCAATTAGAGCGCAGGAGGAAAATTACGGCAAATGTGCGAGATTCGAGTTTCCGGGAGTGTAAACTACGTTCCAGTGTTCTTAAAATATTTAATATAAAATTTATGCTATACAAATTTGATATAAAATTAAAGAATTAAACAATGTTAGACGAGGAAGAGGTGTTGGACAGCGCTTTTGACAATGATAGTCATGATCAGAATGTATCAGAACCTCAAATCCAAATATGGAAATCATTAATTAATTTAGTTCAACCAAATTTGTTGCTGTATCAGAAAAAACACAAAGAATACAGCAACAAAAGTATGAAAATACAGATATGGAACAGTATTGGGGCAGCCTTAATACCGCCAATAACTGGTAAATAAATAACGTTGAAAAAGTGAGGTTAGATTAGAGAAACTGATTAAGAGATTTCTTTTTCGAATACAATGTATTGTGTATTTGCAGGAATTGATGCAGAAAAAATGTTTTATCGTTTGCGTCAAAAATTTGGTAAAGAGCGCCGGAAAGTAACGCAGTCGCAGGCAAGATCTGGTGCAGGGGCAGATCATGTGCCGTACACGTCCAATTGGATACTATACAAAGATCTAATGTTTCTAGCTGATCATATTCAACCTAGACAGTAATTGAATCATTATAAAAACAATAATTATAAAATTTATGCTTGCATTCTTCTATTTGCTTTACAATAATTGAAAGGTATCCGTTATGTATAAGTTTTGTTTAAGATGAATTATTTGCACAGGACATCATCAAATTTCCAGCCGGTTATTCCGAAGCGCAAGAAAGCTATAGCTTCACAAATGTCGCATTTTAGTAGCTCACAACTCTATTTGCAACGTGCTAGCTCGCAGCCTTCCAGCTCACAATGTGCTGCATCAACACCTGCAATCATATGTACACAACCACTAACTTCAGAAGAATCCACAGATGTAATATTGAATATTGACTTGAATGATGAATCTTTAGGTATAAAAATGATTAAATAATTGTAAAATATTGCATATAATTAACGTTTTTTTAAATTATTATTTATGATAACTGGTGCTAAGACTTCGATATTTTGTTATACAGTAGGATTCGTAAATTTCCCGGTAGACGAATCAGATCTAAATATCGTACGAATACTAATTGTAAAATATTGCATATGATTAACGTTTTTTTTTATTATTATTTATGATAACTGGTGCTAAGACTTCGATATTTTGTTATACAGTAAGGTTCGTAAATTTCCCGGTAGACGAATCAGATCTAAATATCGTACGAATACTTAAATGTGATTCGTCTGCCTGAATTGTACCTAATTATCTTGGGAAGGCATTTATGAGCCTACTGTAAAAGAATATCAATCATTGTATTAATAATTTTAATTGTTGCACATCCAGAATTTTTAACTGAAAATGAGAAAGCATCTGTAGCAGATTCCATGGAATCGTCTTCAGTATCACTTTCCAACTCGTCAACTTCACAAGGCATTATATCCAGAAGCATGCAAAAAGTCGTACTCCCTGCTATCACACCTCAAAAACTGACACCACCAGCAGATAATACTAAAAAGAGAAAACACCAGACAAGTGATGAAGTAGATGCAGCAGTGGTAAAATCATCCGAAAACATTTCCTTCTTAGCTAACACACTGGACATTGCACTTAATAAAAAAATAACATCAGTATCAGAACCGACAAAACCAAAATTATCTGATGCAGTAGAAAATATGATGAGTGGTATAGCCTTAGGATTGGGCAAAGTTCCTGAAGATCATCAAATGGATTGTTTTATATCGATCCTTAATTGCATTAACAACTTTATAAAAAAATAAATCTTTTTTTAAAAATCTTTTTAATATGCATAATATTTGATTATTTTTCTTTCCATAAATGACTTCTTATTTTTGTTTTCATTTTATAAAGTAAATTTAAATTAAAATTTAAAAAGTAAATTTTAAGTTTAGTTCCAAAGAACACTGAAAGAGTAGCCTTGCCTATATGGTTTACTTTTTTCGTAGGTATAATTTTTTTTGCATTAATAAGGAATTTTTTCATTTTTAAAACACCGAACATACCTACCTTATATTTTATGTACAGCCTTTCGATTTTATGATCATCCTTTTTCGTTTATTGCTACTGCTCTATCATCCTCTTTTCTGTATTTATTTTCTTTGCGAAGAAACGATACAACACTGCCTTCGCTCGCGCTGCTGCTTTTCCTTCTTCGTTTAAGTTTATGTTTATTTTTGAATTTATTTTATTAAATTCTACAAAATGTTTTTATTTTATTCTTAAAACATTTCTTGACCAAATAATAAAATGTTTATTTTTTTGGATTACATTGTTATTAAAAATATTAAGAAATATACAGAAATGTTAAGTATTATGTAATGTCAATCAAAATAAAATATATTGACTAAATTATAATAAACAAATTATTTTCTTTTCTCCTATTAATATTACTGCTATTAATTTTATTTTTTCAAACATTACAAATTTTAATAAATAAAATGTATATATGTCCACACATACACAATTCTTTATTTTATATATTCTTACATAGTTGTACATTAATTCATGTATATATTTGTACACTTATTAAGCATTTATGGAGCGTTCATGGAGCGCCATTTCATTTTGCCATGGTGCCTGTTCCTGACCAATTTCGTAGGTAAAGTATTGCATTAGATAATTTCTCATGCCCTGTACAATACGTGTACTTCTGTTTGCTCCTGTTCTGCCCAGACGATGAAAAATAGTTTCATTGGCTTGTACTCTCCATGTTTCTCTTTCAACTTCGCCATTATTATTTATAAGTTCTTGAGGGCAATATTGAGAACGTCCACAGGTCATCATAAAATTATGTAAACAGACTAAGGCTTTTGTTATTAGTTCTGCATTTTTTGGAGAGCAGCTTATGCATGTACTTAAAATTTGCCATTTTGTCGTCATGATGCCAAACGTGTTTTCGATTACTCTTCTCGCTCTAGATAATCGGTAGTTGAAAATACGTTCATTATTAGACATATTAACGTTTCTTCTAGGAAACGGTCTCATCATATATGTAGAAAGTGGAAACGCTTCATCTCCGACAAAAACATATGGGAATGGAACATTTGTACCAGGAAGCGGAATAGATGGTGGCAAATCAGCTGTTCCATCTTCGAGAGCTTGCATGAAATTTGTATTTCTCCAGATACTACCATCACTTAATGAACCTGCGAATAGAAATATATACATGCACTTTTGTATGCAATATGTAATTATATATTTAGATTATGAGATATGCTGCTATGAATACATACCATACTGCCCAATATCTACCCATGTAAACTTATATTCTGCATCGCAAGCAGCCATAAGTACCAAGCTAAAGAATCCTTTATAATTATAATATTCGGATCCGGACATAGGAGGAGCTTTGATGCGAATATGCTTCCCGTCAATGGCACCGACGCAATTAGGGAATTGCCATCTATCCATGAATCCCTCTGCTACTCTATTCCATGAATTTCTATCCATAGTTGGGAGAAAAATTGGTTGTAGTGCTTCCCAAATTGCTTTACAGGTCTCAGGAATTATTGCGTACACTGTTGATCTCCCTATGCGAAACTCTGTGTGTTTACTCAAAACAGAATCTCCTTGTGCTAGATATCTGCAGAAATAACATAATGATGTTATACACACATACACACACACA